AGGAAAAGAAAGTGGGGGCTCAGGTAAATCAATGAATAACGAGTCATTACAACAGATACCAAAGAAATACAAAGGATCATAAGAGACTACTATGAATATGCCAACAAATTAGACTACCTAGACAAAATGAATAAATTCCTAGAAACATACAGTTTAGCAAGATTAAGTCATAAAGAAGCATAAAATCTGAACCGACTAATAATAAGGAGATTGAATCAGTAATTAAAAATCTCCCAACAAAGAAAAGTTCAGAACCAGACAGTTTCACCAGTGAATTCTACCAAATATTTAAAGAAAATGAATGCCAATCCTTCTCAAAACCTTTCAAAAAACTGAAAAGGAAGGAATACTATTCCTGATGAATATAGATGAGAAAATTCTCAACAAAATACTAGCAAACTGAATTCAATATAATGGAATATTATTCAGCCATAAAAAAGTAGGAAAGTCTACCATTTGCAACAGCATAGATAGATCTTAAGGGCATTACATAAGTGAAATAAGTCAGACAAAGTAGGATAAATACTGGACGAGCTCACTTCTAGGGGAAATCTTTAAAAATCTAACTTATATAAACAGAAAGTAGATTGGTGGTGGCCAGAGGCTAGGGGATGGGGAAAATGCAGAGATCTTGGTCAAAGGGAACAAACTTCCAATGATAAGATGAATCTAATGTACAGCATGGGAACTGTAATTAACAATACTGTACTGTACCTGATATTTGTTAATAGCAGCATACCACAAAAGGGGGGGCGGGTAACTATGTGAGGTGACAAGCGTGTCAACAAACCTTATTGTGGTAATCATTTCACAAAATATACATATATCAAATCATTACATTTTATGCCATAAACTTACACAATGCCATATGTCAATTATATTTCAATAAAGCTGGCGCGGGGTAAGAAATGGTTGGAGCCAAATCCCAGAGAACTTAGAGTGAGAATATGAGATTTAACTGTATTTGTAAAACCACAAAGTGGTTTTTGCAGATCTCCCATGGTTTCCTTGGAGCTAACTGACAGACAACACATTTGGACTCAATTGTCAGCTTTGGCCCCTACCAGACATGACTTGTCATACTGACACTTCCACTCCATGTCTCACCAAGTGGAACCTAAAGGTCTATTCTGGGCCAATACCTGATCTCTGCCTCATCTCAAGAGAGGTCAGTAAGATAGGGAGTTAAATCCTTAGAATCATGAAGAGCCCTCAAAGATTGTCTAACACCTAACAGTGCAATTGAGAAATACAGGAGGCCAAAGGGAAAATAACTTCCCCGCAGCTCCACTGGGTAAAAAAACTAGAACCAGACCTGAAGCCTACCCATCCCCAGGCCAGGGCTTTGTTCCAACATAGCACTGGTTTTACAAACCTGATGGTCTTGCAAAATAGTCCCCACAATCCTCGTGCCATCTACCTCTCAAGGGTCCCACGAGCACCTGAGTTATCCATGTGTGTGCACACACATACAGGAGAAAGGCATGATAAAAAATAAGACATGAGGACTTTCAAAGGACATTTATATGGACATAGCACAAACATCCCTCCAGCCTGGCAATTTCCCACCTACTCAGAGATCATTCATGGGAAGAAGTGAAAATATGACAGCCCACTTCTCGGCATAGGGACAACAAAGCCATTCCTACTGAAAAACAAACAAACAAAAAAAAAACCAACACTCAAAATGCTGATTCCTAAAGTCCTTTCCTTCCTTCTGTGCCTCTCGTTCTGTCACCACCCGCCCTCCAGCTCTACTCCAGTGGCCAGGCAGGCAAAGACCAGTAGTTAATGGTCAGCGAGCTAAGGGGAAAATCTGTCATGCCCTTTTTTCCTGTGTCTCTGCACTTATTTAAAAGCCATTTCATTACATTTAAAGGCCCAAGACACTTGTAACTATATTGAAAATCAAAGTCACTTAGGAACCTAGAAAATGGAGATGGCTAGAACCTGGTTTGGAGTAAGGATGGGAGGTGGTCACCAAAGCTCAGGTCATTGCCAGTCTGTCCTGGTCATCCCTGACAGCTATGGCTGGAAATGGAGACACAAGTCTTTCCAGAATGACTGTAACTTTCAGGCCAGCTGCTCACCATGCAGTAAGGAGAACAAATGACAAGGGCTAACTGGACAGTGACAGCCAGCCACGGCTGAGTCTCAGGAATGTGCCTCTCCCTGGACAAGCTGTCACAGTGTGCTGCATGGGCCTCCTCTCCCCCAGCTGACTGCGAGCTCCTTAAGCCTGCAGATAGGAGAGGATTCCTCTCTGGGCCCCGCTCAGGCCCTGCAGAAGCTATACCAGTGCTCAAGACACACGGTTTACCATGCTTGCTTCATTCCCAACCACACCTCCTTCTCCTTCCTGTGAACCCAGGGACTTTGCTTGTGATAGCTTCATCCTGCTGGGATATCACTTTGTTGTATGTACATCTTATCTCATCATAAGTCCAAACCCCTAAAAGGTAAACTAGCTATCCTTACCACCGCCAGACTGCCTCCTGCCATGCTGGGCCATAGAACCCCCAGACCAATGAATGAACAAAAGAGTCTTTTATTAGGGCTCCTAAATTAGAGCTCCACTTTCTATGCAGCAGTCTTATCAGACCACCCTTGAGTATCTTTCATAAGTAGGTATACAATGAGTATTTGTCTATTGAAACAGAAAGCCACTAGACTGATGGCCATGTCTGCCTATGAAAATCCAGGACAGGGGTGAACAAAGCCAGTTAGAGGCCCCTTGTCTGTAGGAGTCACAGTTGAAGTAATGTCTGGTCAATTCTAAACTAATGTTAGGCAATTAAACCCAGGGGGCCTGTTGTAAGGTCAAAAGTCAGAGAAACCAAATTTCCAAACAAAGTTGGAATACATTTAAAGAAGCTTAAAATCTCCAAAGATGAAAATAGCTGAAGAATGATGTTTGAGGAATTCAGATTTAACTCAGCAAGTGACGGTTCAGCAAGAGGAGCTGTGAGCTGGGCAGTGAGACAAGCTGATGAGCTCATCCTTGGGCCACCCACAATCTGACCCAACCTGCTGTGGGCAAGAGAGGTGGAGGCCCGTATTGGCTTCTTAAAAGGTGGAAAGAAATGGATGTGACTCAGCTGACCCCAGGGTCCGAAGCAAAGGCTTACTTGGACATCTAATGCCACTGGTTCGGATAAGATGTGATTTTGAGACAGGAGTGGTGGGGGAGGAAGACAAAAAGGAAGGATAGAAATGCAATTTGTAAAATCGTTGAATTGTGATAAAAATCCAATACAGTTGAAATTTCATCAGTTCTAGGAACCATCCCCAGAGTGGAAGGGAAGGGGCTGGGTTTTACCATGTCAAAAAGTCAGCAATAAAGGAACTGTCCTGCGGTCAGGGCAGAGCCAAACTGACATTTCAGCCCAAAATGCATTCCTTTTAAGGGCCAGGATTTTAAAGAATGTGCTTTTCAGCCTCTCCCACAAGCTCACACAGGCAGCAGAAGCAGAAGGAGCTGTGTGCACAGCGAGATGTGTTTTTCTCATTACCCTTAAATGCCTTTTAAGGCATGCTCCCTGACTCCTCCCTCCTGGCACCTCTCCCAGACTGAGTGGGCTTGGCTGGAGGGTTGTGAAGGAAACACACTTGGTGGGGGGAGGGCGGGGAGAAAAAATGTTTTCAGGTCTAGCTATGCTGAGGACTCGCAGAGCATCATCTGGTCAGGTTTACGATGAATGTGTAAGTCAAGGAGAGAATGCTGTCCTGCTCAGAAATCCACAGATCCGCCCTCTAATGTGTAAAAAGCTCAAGTCAGAACATTGCTGAAGGCGACCTGGCATGCATTCATTCGTTCACTCATTCATTTAACACATACTTCTCAAAAGCCCTCTCTTGACCCAAATACATGCAAAGGAAATCGTGTCAGCCCTGAAGCCATGTCTCAAATGACCACAAAGCAACCACTTGTCATGTTTTTCTGGTCATGGGCTGCAATGCTTTGCTAAACTCTGCTATGGTCTATTCATGGAGTAAAAGGAGGGGACTGGGTACTGGGAAGACTAGGGATGACCATGGCCATATTTTAGTGCTCTCAGACAACTAATTAACCAATCAATATAAATTGAACACTGCCTGTGAGTCTATGATCAGAACATATTTTTGGTTAAACTGGAAATATGGTTTTGGTATATGAGATTTCACTTTGCAGACATGTTTGATGGGGATGTCCTAATCCAGGATACCGGTGGATCAAATGGCAAAAGTCATTTCAAACCTTCTGGACACAATAAGGTTTATTGGTGAACATTTATTTTCATTGCTGAGTTAAAACTGAACTTTTTCATTATAACAATAGGGGTCCTTTTTGCTTTGAGCTTTACATATTCAGCCACTGAGATGACAAACTCTCCAGGTAATTTGACAAGTGATTTCTGCATTCGTACCAAAATTACATATACAACTAAGGTCTAGGGGGGGCAGAGCAAGATGGCAGAGGAGTAGGAGACCCGGATTTCATCTCCTCTCAGGAATTCAGCTGGATAGGGATCAAACCAATCTGAACACCTACGAACTCAACAGGAGATCGAAGAAAAGAAGAGCAACAACTCTCTGAGCAGAAAAGCGACCACTTTCTGGAAGGTAGGACGTGCGGAGAAGTGAATCCGAGGCAATATTCGGGAGGATAGATGGCGGGGGAGGGGACTCCGTCAGCCGCTTCTGGCAAGTGATAGAGCCAGGGAGCACAAAATCAGAACTTTTAGAAGTCTGCTCCGCTAAGGGACGTAACTCCGGTGGATAAACGGGGGGTGGAACCCTCGTGCAACAGTGTGGTCTCAGGACCCTCGGGGTCACAGAAAGACCAGCGGTGCCTGAGTGCGGCAGAGGTCCCAGGTATCTGAGCAGGGAAGCCAGTGGCAGAGACAGAGCCCAGGCGCGGGCTCTCAGCTTGGGGTTGCCATAAACTGAGATCCATGGCACAGTCAGGCCCCTGCTCCTCCAGCAGGGACCCAACAAGTGGCAGATCCGGGGAGACTCACCTTCTTCCCCCGGGATGAGAGGTGCGGGAGTGCACCGCAGGGATCTGCTGGGTTTGGAGACTCCACACGGGGCCGGGTGCCAGAGATAGAAACGCGTGGTCACAGGCCGGGTGAGCACGGAGTGTGGCCGGAGACTGGGGAGACGGGAGTGACTGGCGGCTTTTCTCTGGGGGCTCACTGAGGAGTGGGGCCCGAGTTCTCAGCTCCTCCGAGAGATTGGGAGGCCACCATTTTCATTCTCCGCCTCCAAAGCTGTAGGGAAAGCTTGAAGGGAACAGAAGCTCCGGACAGCAAACCCAAGCAGATTACTTAGTCCGGACCGGGCAAGGGCGGGGCAATTCAACCTTTGGCAAAGACACTTGGGAACCAGGGCAACAGGCCCCTCCCCCAGAAGATCAGCGAGAACAGCCAGCCAAGACCAAGTTTACCGATCAATGAGAACGGCAGAACCCCAGCACTAGGGGAATAATGCACATAGAATTCATGGCTTTTTTACCATGATTCTTTAGTCTTTCAAAGTTAATTTTTTTAACTGTCTTTTTTTTTGTTTTATTTGAATTTTTCTTTTTCCCTTTTCAACCAACATCTTATCAATCCCTTTTTTAAAAAAAAAACATTTTTATTTTTCATTTTTATTTTTCATTTTTAGAGTCATATTCTATCCCTTCATAGTAGTTACCTGTATTTTTGGCATATATATATAAGTTGTCCTCTCTTTAAAATTTTGAGATAGTTTCTTCTAACAGATCAAAATATACCCTAAATCTCTACTGTATGGTTTTTTGCTACTCCCCTGCCTGATCACATTCTCTCCCCTTTTTTTTTTTAAAAATCTTCTTCTTTCTTTTTTCAAACAACTTCTTATCAATTCCTTTTATAAAATTTTTTATAATTTCCATCTTTACAGTCATATTCCATCCCTTCATCATATCAACCCTTATTTTTATACATATATAAGTTTTTCTTTCTTTAAAATTTTGGGAGGCACTTTCTTCTAACAGACCAAATACACCCAAAATCTAGTGTGTGGCACTGATCTATATACCAGCCTGATCATATTTGATCACATTCTGGTTTTTTTGTTTTGTTTTGTTCTGTTTTTATTTGTTTTTAACTTTATCTTTTTCTTTTCCTTTCTTTTTTCTTTTTCTTTTTTCTCTCTTTCCCTTTCTTTTCCCACTACTTCAAGTCTTTTCTGACTTGTTTAGAGTATATTTTCTGGGAATGTTGTTACCCTGTTAGCATTTTGTTCTCTCATTAATCTATTCTCCTCTGGACAAAATGACAAGACAGAAAAAAATCACCTCAACAAAAAGAACAAGAGGTAGTACCGACTGCCAGGGACCTACTCATTACAGACATTAGTACAACGTCAAATCTAGAGTTCAGAATCATCACTTTAAAGATACTAGCTGGGTTTGAAAAAAGCACTGAAGTTATTAGAGAAACCCTTTCTGGAGAAGTAAAAGAACTAAAATCTAACCAAGTAGAAATCAAAAAGGCTATTAATGAGGTGCAATCAAATATGGGGGTGCTAACTGCTAGGATAAATGAGGCAGAAGAGAGAATCAGTGATGTAGAAGACCAAATGATGGAAAATAAAGAAGCTGAGAAAAAGAGAAATAAACAACTACCGGATCACGAGGGCAGAATTCGAGAGATAAGCGATCTCATAAGATGAAACAAAATTAGAATAATTGGGATCCCAGAAAAAGAAGAAGAAAGAGAAAGAGGGGCAGAAGGTATAATGGAGCAAATTATAGCAGAGAACTTCCCTAATTTGGGGAAGGAAACACACATCAAAATCCAGGAAGCACAGAGAACCCCTCTCAAAATCAATAAAAATAGGTCAACACCCCGACACCTAATAGTAAAACTTATGAGTCTCAGAGACAAAGAGAAAATCCTGAAAGCAGCTCGGGAGAAGAGATATGTAACCTCCAATGGCAGAAACATTAGATTGGCAACAGACCTATCCACAGAGACCTGGCAGGCCAGAAAGGACTGGCAGGATATATTCAGAGCACTAAATGAGAAAAATATGCAGCCAAGAATACTATATCCAGCTAGGCTGTCATTGAAAATTGAAGGAGAGATAAAAAGCTTCCAGGACAAACAAAACTAAAGGAATTTGCAAACACAAAACCAGCCCTACAAGAAATCTTGAAAGGGGTCCTCTAAGCAAAGAGAGAGCCTGAAAGCAACATAGACCAGAAAGGAACACAGACAATATACAGTAACAGTCACCTTACAGGCAATACAATGGCACTAAATTCCTGTCTTTCAATAGTTACCCTGAATGTAAATGGGCTAAATGCCCCAATCAAAAGACACAGGCTATCAGATTGGATTAAAAAACAAGACCCATCAATATGATGTCTGCAAGAGACTCATTTTAGACCCAAAGACACCCCCAGATTGAAAGTGAGGGGGTGGAAAACCATTTACCATGCTAATGGACACCAAAAGAAAGCTGGGGTGGCAATCCTTATATCAGACAAATCAGATTTTAAATCAAAGACTGTAATAAGAGATGAGGAAGGACACTATATCCTACTTAAAGGGTCTATCCAACAAGAAGATCTAACAATTGTAAATATCTATGCCCCTAACATGGGAGCAGCCAATTATGTAAGCCAACGAATAACAAAAGCAAAGAAACACATCGACAACAATACAATTAATAGTGGGGGACTTTAACACCCCCCTCACTGAAATGGACAGATCATCTAAGCAAAAGATCAACAAGGAAATAAAGACTTTAAATGACACACTGGACCAAATGGACTTCACAGACATATTCAGAACATTCCATCCCAAAGCAATGGAATACACATTCTTCTCTAGTGCCCATGGAACATTCTCCAGAATTGATCACATCCTAGGTCATAAATCAGGTCTCAGCTGGTACAAAAAGATTGGGATCATTCCCTGCCTATTTTCAGACCACAATGCTTTGAAACTAGAACTCAATCACAAGAGGAAAGTCGGAAAGAACTCAAATACATGGAGGCTAAAGAGCATCCTACTAAAGAATGAATGGGTCAGCCAGGAAACTAAAGAAGAATTAAAAAAATTCATGGAAACCAATGAAAATGAAAACACAACTGTTCAAAATCTTTGGGATGCAGCAAAGGCAGTCCTAAGAGGAAAGTATATAGCAATACAAGCCTTTCTCAAGAAACAGGAAAGATCTCAAATACACAACCTAACCCTACACCTAAAGGAGCTGGAGAAAGAACAGCAAATAAAGCCTAAACCCAGCAGGAGAAGAGAAATAATAAAGATCAGAGCAGAAATCAATGAAAGAGAAACTAAAAGAACAGTAGAACAGATCAACGAAACTAGGAGCTGGTTCTTTGAAAGAATTAACAAGATTGATAAACCCCTGGCCAGACTTATCAAAAAGAAAAGAGAAATGACCCAAGTCAACAAAATCACGAATGAAAGAGGAGAGATCACAACCAACACCAAAGAAATAAAAATAATTATAAGAACATATTATAGGGGCGCCTGGGTGGCTCAGTCGTTAAGCGTCTGCCTTCAGCTCAGGTCATGATCCCACGGTCCTGGGATCAAGCCCTGCATCAGGCTCCTCGCTCCGCGGGAAGCCTGCTTCTCCCTCTCACACTCCCCTTGCTTGTGTTCCCTCTCTCGCTGTCTCTCTCTCTGTCAAATAAATAAATAAAAATCTTAAAAAAAAAAAAAAGAACATATTATGAGCAACTCTATGCAAGCAAATTAGATAATCTGGAAGAAATGGATGCATTCCTAGAGATGTATTAACTACCAAAACTGAACCAGGAAGAAATAGAAAACCTGAACAGACCTATAACCACCAAGGAAATTGAAGCAGTCATCAAAAATCTCCCAACAAACAAAAGCCCAGGGCCAGATGGTTTCCCAGGGGAATTCTACCAAACATTTCAAGAAGAATTAATACCTATTCTTCTGAAACTGTTCCAAAAAATAGAAATGGAAGGAAAACTTCCAAACTCATTTTATGAGGCCAGCATTACCTTGATCCCAAAATCAGACAAAGACCCCATCAAAAAGGAGAACTACAGACCAATTATCCCTGATGAACATGGATGCAAAAATTCTCACCAAAATACTAGCCAATAGGATCCAACAGTACATTAAAAGGATTATTCACCATGACCAAGTGGGATTTATCCCTGGGCTGCAAGGTTGGTTCAACATCTGCAAATCAATCAACGTGATACAATACATTAACAAAAGAAAGAACAAGAATCATATGATCCTCTCAATAGATGCAGAAAAAGCATTTGACAAAGTACAGCATCCCTTCTTGATTAAAACTCTTCAGAGTATAGGCATAGAGGGTATATACCTCAATATCATAAAAGCCATCTATGAAAAATCCACAGCAAATATCATTCTCAATGGGGAAAAACTGAGAGCTTTCCCCCTAAGGTCAGGAACACGGCAGGGATGTCCACTCTCACCACTGCTATTCAACATAGTATTGGAAGTCCTAGCCACAGCAATCAGACAACAAAAAGAAATCAAAGGTATCCAAATTGGCAAAGAAGAAGTCAAACTCTCACTCTTTGCAGACGATATGATACTTTATGTGGAAAACCCAAAAGACTCCACCCCAAAACTGCTAGAACTCATACGGGAATTCAGTCAAGTGGCAGGATATAAAATCAATGCACAGAAGTCAGTGGCATTCCTATACACCACCACCAAGACAGAAGAAAGAGAAATTAAGGAGTCGATCCCATTTGCAATTGCACCCAAAACCATAAGATACCTAGGCATAAATCTAACCAAAGAGGCAAAGGATCTGTACTCAGAAAACTATAAAATACTCATGAAAGAAATTGAGGAAGACACAAAGAAATGGAAAAACGTTCCATGCTCATGGATTGAAAGAACAAATATTGTGAAGATGTCAATGCTACCTAGAGCAATCTACACATTCAATGCAATCCCCATCAAAATACCATCCCCTTTTTTCAAAGAAATGGAACAAATAATCCTAAAATTTGTATGGAGCCAGAAAAGACCCTGAATAGCCAGAGGAATGTTGAAAAAGAAAAGCAAAGCTGGTGGCATCACAATTCCGGACTTCCAGCTCTATTACAAAGCTGTCATCATCAAGACAGTATGGTACTGGCACAAAAACAGACACATAGATCAATGGAACAGAATAGAGAGCCCAGAAATGGACCCTCAACTCTATGGTCAACTCATCTTCGACAAAGCAGGAAAGAATGTCCAATGGAAAAAAGACAGTCTCTTCAACAAATGGTGTTGGGA